CGGCGCGAGGCTTATTGTTACAGGGGGAGGGGGGTTTTACTATCCCCCTCCCTGTATGATTTTTATATGAGTTCGACTCCTCCCCGGGTTTGGTTCCGGGTTTTCTTGGGTTCTTCGGTTCCCTTCTTCCAGAGGTTTTTGGCTTCCCATATCCCACCGAGGGAGGTGCAGGAGGCCCTTGTGGCTTACCTCCTGCGAGACCCGGATTACGCCTCGATAATGAAGCCTTCTTCGTTTGAGTTTGGCCCCTCTTTTTCCTTATTGGATGCTTTACGAGGTGCTGGAGTCTTCCAGGTTGACAGACCGCCCTTTCTTTTCGATGAGGGCTTGGCATTCGTTCAGTCAGACCCGCTCGCTTGAATGGCGGGAGTTGACTATAGTCGTTTAGTTTTACCTGAGGAAGGTGGGGCGAGTTGAGCACCTCGGTGCGTGCTTGTTCGCCTCCTTCCTTCCTTGTGATGTCGGCCAGGTGCAGGTTTCCTCCTTTTCAACGTCCCTGGTGGCTGAGGATTTGCGCGCCCTGGGGCATTTGTCTTCGGTCTTGCGCTTCTTTTCCCTGCTGGAGCTGTCTTAGGACTGGCTCATGGAGGATGTAGAGGAGCTGGGTTCTTTGCGGTGTCCGGTGTGCTCATCTCGACGGCTCGGGCGTTGGCTGCATTGTTGAAGTTGTATGCGCTGATTCTGAAAGTGGTGGTGTGTCTGTTCTTTGCTTCTCGCCTCGCTTGCCGACAGGCAGTGCTCGTCCACTCTTTGAAATTTGCTTGGGCCATGGCTCCTAGGTTTTTGTCCCTTTTGTATCTGTTGCTGTTTGCAGAGTCTGCGGTGGTGCATATTCCGCAGGCGGTTTTGTCTAGCTGCCGGCCTATATCAGACTTGTTGGTTCTCCGGTTAGGGGGTGGTCCTGCCTGGAAGGGTCGTGCCAGGGGTTGGGGTTCTTTCGGTCATCACAAGTCGGTAGTGCCACATTCGGGGCCGGCCCCTCCTGCTGAGCTGTCGACGTCTGGTCAGTGCAGTGATCGCTCTGAGCGTCGACCGGGCTCTCGCAAGGGTCGTTGGCCCTTTCGCGGTTTGCCCCATTGATGGGGCAATAAGTGGGAGGCTCGTGCTGTTTGCGCTCGCCTGGTCCCATGATTCGTGGGCGTTTCAGGTCATTCCCTCCAGCCTGCGGTGGCATTGGGTAGTTCTTCCTTCTGGGGGGTGGGGTGGGGGGGGGTTAGGGCTGGCAGGGCAGGGCTCTTCCACTGCGCACTATCGGGTCATCCAGAAGTGGGTTCGCTTGGACGTGGTTGAAACGATGGCATCCCTCTAGGTGGGTTTCCCGCCTGTTTTCAGTTCTGAAGTGGGACTGTGCGGATCTGAGATTCATTCTGGACTTATCCCGTCTGAACCCCTGGGTCGTTTGCCCCTCCTTTTGGATGACCACTCTGTCTCAGGTCCAGCTGCTTTTGGCGCTGGGTGCTTGGATGGTGTCTCTGGACCTCTGGGACACGTATTGGCACGTTCCGATTTATCCGGGGTTCAGGGACTGGCTCGGTTTTGTTGTGGGGTGACAGGGATACCGTTTTCATTGCCTTCTATTAGGCTTGAATCTGGCACCTCACGTGTTCATATGCCTTACCTGGGTCGTGGGGTCCCATTTGCTTCTGTTAGGGGTTCGGGTTCTGGCTTACCTCGACAACAGCCAGCCCGTGTGTCTGCTCGCCAGGGATTTGGTTCTTTCCCAGCTCTCTGTGTTCGGGTTCTTTGTGAACTGGAGGAAGTCTCATTTGGTGCCCTCTCAGGTTCGGACTTGGCTGGGTCTTGTGTGGGACTTCTGAGACCGCTTCCTTGTCTCTCCCTCCTGCGGCGTTGTTGTAGCTGTGGTCCCACCTACGACTGTTTTTGGAGGGCACCCTGGGTCACTTGGTGGTTGTTAGAGTGGCTGTGCGGGAGTCTGAATTTCGCCGTTCTGGTCTACCTATCGGGTAGGATCTGGCTTTAGTGGCTGTTTTGGTCCCTTCAAGGATGTCCCTTTCACCGCTCTCGCGATCTCTGGGTTTGGATCCTGGGAGCCTTGCATCAGCTGATGTGTCGCCGGCTTCCTCTGAGAGTTTTTTTTTGGTTCTGTTCTGTTGCGCCTCCCCGAGCCCTCGCTCGATGTGTTCACGGATACCTCGTCTCTTGGCTGGGGTTTTGTGACCAGTGCTCACCAGGCCAGCCGGGGTCAGTGGGGTACGTCCTTCTGTTGGGCTCACAGCACGGCGCGAGTTTGCAGTGGGGTGGTATTCGCTTCAGAGGGTTCGTGTTGCTCGCGGAGCAATGATCCAGTTCCATTCGGACTGCTTCCTTGTGGATCATTGTCTGAACCGCAGGGGTTTGATGCGATCTTTGGCTCCTTAGGGCTGGTTGCTTCGGGTGACTTGTCTGCCGAGTTCTTGGGATTTGTCTCTTCTGGCGGTTCACATTCAGGGAGTGTCAAACGTCCTGGTGGAAGGCTTGTCTTGGTTCATTCCCCCATCCACTGAATGGATAGTCGATGCTGACTAGTTCAGTTGGCTCTGCCAGAGGTACGGGTGCCCGGAGGTGGACCTCTTTGCATCGGTGTGGGTGAGGCGTCTTCCAGTGTGTGGCGCCTTTCCTCGACTGCGAGGCTGTTGGGGTTGATGCCTTTTAGCTAGACTGGTCGAGTTGGGGATACCTGTACCTCTTCCCATCGGTTCGGTTCTTGCTCAGAGTCCTGGTTTGCTTGGAGACTTACCAGGGAAGAGTTGTGAGTTGTGGTTCTGCTGTTGGCCCCCCTTGGTGGCTGGCCCAGCCGTGGTTTCAGGCGCTTCTTGCTCGATGTCCGAACCAGAGGGTCTTCCTGCGGCTCCGCCTCTTTCAGCAAATCGGTCCGGTACGGTATGGGGCTGGTTCGATATTCTCCTCCACTCTTCGTGTCTGGTCTTTTTGATGTGAGTTTATCACCACTTGTATGGTGATCAGGTGGTTTCGTTGATGGTGTCCCACCAGCAAGTTTTGTCTCGGCGGCAGTATGAAGTTTCCTGGCGGTCCTTTCGGCACTTTCTCTTCGTAGGTTGCCTTCGATTTTTGATCGGGTTTTGTCCTTTCTCTCTTGGTTGTTTCAGGACCATCATCTTACGCCAAATACAGTCGCCTAGTATCGTGTGCCTCTGGCAGAGCTGCTTCACCTTGCGTTCAGGGTAGATGTCAGTTTTGCTCCATTCCGCTAGCTTTCTCAGGCGTTGTTTCACTTCCAGCCTGCTCGTGCACTGCCTGTGCCATCCTAGTTGTTGGACCGGGTGCTCTCTCTTCTCTTCTCCTCGGTTTGTGGTGCCCCCCCCCCCCCTCGGTTCAGGACTGTTTTTTCTAAGGCTCTCTTCTTGTTGGTATTGGTCTCTGGGGGGCCGAGTCAGGGAGCTTCATGCTCTCCTCCGGCACGGGGTTTCTGCTCTTTCAGTCCTGGTGGTCGTTTTGTTCATTTGTAGCCATCTCCTTTTCTGGCGAAGAATGAGTCTGCTGCTTTCTGAAGGGGTCTTTGGGTTTTTGATTCTTGATTGGTTCAGCTGGGGGTGCATCATGTTTTGTCCGGTTGCGGCTCTTTGCCGTTATTTGCACGCCATGGCCTCCGTGGCAGGGGGATGTGCTTTGGCCACGTACCCCCGTCTAACGTGCTCCTGTTACCCTTCTTCCCTGTTCCAGGGCACGGGTCTCCCAGGTCATCCGCAGGATTATTCGGTCCAGCCAGCCTGCGGTCTATCCCCGTGCCCATGACGTTTGTAAGTTCGCGGCTTTCGCTGCTATTTTTGGGAATATGTCCTGGGCTGACATTCAGGCACTGGCCTTTGGAGGCTGAACAGGGTCCTGGTCGCATGGTACCTCGTTCATGTTCCTAGCCCTTCTCGGGCGTGTGTACGGTTGGGTCGCAGGTTGCAGCCAGTTGTCTCGACTAGAGTTGAGGAAGGAGTGATGGCCGCCTTCCGGGTGAGTCCTCTTTGCCTTTATCTTTGGTTAGGTAGCAACAGAGAGCCAAGTAGGCTCTCTACAGAAAACCAGCTTTGAATGTAATGAAACACCATTTTCTGGTTTAGACCCAGAGCTTCCCAGCATCCATTCCTTGCTCCCTCCGGTCGGCATTTTTTTTTTTTTTACTTTTTGATACTCGGCCTCCGAACTGAGGAGAGTAGCCAGCTTAGAGGTCTGGGGGAGGGGGGTGGGGGTTGCACAGACGGCTGCGTGGTGGTTGTTGTGGCGTCAAGCTTGTTTGCTTGTTTTTGATTGGGGAGTTCTGCTTGCTAGTTAGGTTTTCAGTTTACAGTTTTTGACCAGATGTAGTTTGTTTTGGAATTCCTACCTTTCTGGGTGCCTGACCTGGTAGATGGCAGGCAAAGACTGCTTCCAATTACACGGGGGTGTCTACAAGCCATTGCTCCTCGTGCCTCTTGGGGTGGGTGGATGCCAGGTTCTGACGCAAGTCCTCAGTAGGCCTAGAACTCCATCGATTGACTGTTGCCACAGTCTAATATATGCACATCTCTCCAGGTGTCACCCAGAAAATGGCGTTTCATTATAGTCAACGCTGTTTTTTTCCTTTATCTTTTTAGGTTGAACTTTACCTCTGACTTTTGAGTTAAAGGATCCATGGCATGAAATGTAATGAAAGCTTATATGTTAAGCAATAAAAAAAGCACAAAAATTATGAAATTCTTCAGAGAATTCAAGCACAGTTATCACTTGGTGGGATACAAATGTAAACTGCTCTTACCAACTTGAATATGAACGAGTGGTTCATACTCTGGAGCGAACGTTGTACACCAGGGCACATTTTCCAACTAAATTTTTGTCGTACACTGGAAAATTTGTATTTGGCTGCAATCGTGCACAGAGGTTCCACTGTTCTTGATTGTATTTAATAAAGATACCTAACAATACCATACTGTGTATATAATTACTTGATGAAAAATCATTGTTTTTAAATAATTTCAATGTTTTATGGCTTATACTGTGTTTTATATTTCCAGAAAAAGGCACTGCATGCACTAAAGGCACCAAAGCAAGAACCTGAACAACTAGTGCCACTGAAGCGACCAATGGAAGCAAAGGATGCAAAAGAAATGGCAAAAAAACTTATTAAATCTGGAGCTATTAAAGTACCTGAAAGACCACAAGCAGCAACAGAGAAGACTACTTTTAAAAGATCAATGGTAGGAAAAGTTCATGGTACAGTATTGCCACAAAACTAGCTGCTACTTCCTGATTTGTACTCTGAAACTGTCATTGCAAACAGTCTGTTTAGGCCATCAACCAGGAAAACTAATAAGATTTTATAGTGGTCCTCTTTTTGGATCCTTGCATATGCCTATACGGCATATGCAAGGTAAAGAGCCTTTCTAAAGTTTTGAGAAATTGCAGCTTTTTATAAGCATGGGTTTTTCTGCTTGGACTTCACTGTTTTCTTCTTGTGGTTGCCACTTTATGAAGGGTTTGTTTCCTTGTTCTAAAATTCTGCAGCTTTTTGGGTGTGGTAAAGTTAAGCCAACCCTATGTCGACCTTGTTTGTCGAGAGCTATTTTTACATGTTTTCTTGCCTGGGTAATTAATGTGTAACCTTTAGGGAGACACTAAACAGCATTGTTTCAATGCTCCTGGAGCAGTTTAGCTATGGTCCCATTTCATTCCTACCTCTTTGGTATTCTTCGAGACCTTTAATTCTTCAAAAACTGCTCTGCAGCACAAGCAGGTTCCTCCACTCATTTTTGAGCTACATGAAAAGGGCCTTTCTGAGAAGATATTTCTGGCATTTCTACTCCCTGCTTACCTTGTGCTCAGAAGGTGAGTTAACATGTTAGCCAGCTGTAATGTGTAGAAGAGGTAAGGTACTCCACCTGGTGGCAGTGTGCAAAGTTTGCAGTGAGGTAGTTGATAATTACTGAGAGCCTTTCCTTGGCATCACCTTGTGATGTTGGAATTGGGAGGCTTGATAGAGCTTTATTTTATATAGAGACCCAGCATATCATTCTTGCCTGGATTGAGTAATCTCCAGTGACTTGCTCACACCTTGTTTATATCTGCTGGGATCTTCAAAAAATTTCCTGTGATAGTAATTTAGTGTCATCCTGCCTGTCTGTACATGATCCTGAACATTGAACAGAGGATCTTATCTTGAGGAGCCGCTGAATGATGTGCTTATGAAAGCACTATTCATAGTGCTCTTTTTCTGGGGGGAGCCCCGTCGGCTCCCCGGAGCTATCCCAGGCTGATATGCTAATGTCAGACTTTGGCATCAGTCATGTGTATGGAGTTCTTAGGCCTACCGGGGACCACGGCCAGAACCGGGCCCCCTCAGAGAGGCAAGGGGAGCAATGGCCTATAGAAGCCCCCGTGTAGTTGGAAGCATTCTATGTCTGCCATCGACCGGAACAGGCACCCAGAAAGGTAAGCGCCCCAAAACAAACCCCTATTCTGGTTAAAATTGCTACCTAATACCGAACTAGTGGATAGAACTCCCCAACCGAAAACAAGCAAATTAGTGTGACGTCACACACTGCCGCGCCGCTGTCTGCGCAGCTCCCCCCTCCCCGGGAGGGGGAAGGGGGAGCCCCAGACCCCCCACGCCGGCTACCCACACCTCAGTTCTTGAGGCTGATGCTATAGGCGATGGTCGTGTGCTCTGGCTCCGGTGTCGCTACTGCACTGTGCTTTGAGTGTGGTGTTAGTTTTGTGGGTGCGAGAGCCAGGAGTTATCTTCAGTACTCGCATCATCTCTATGGTGATCAGGTGGCCTCCTTGTTGGTGTCCCACCTGAGGGCTTCTTCTCGGCGGCAGTATGAAGTTTCCTGGCGGTCCTTCCGTTTCTTTTTGCGTCTTCGTCGTGTTAGCTCCTTGTCTGTTCGGGTGGTCTTGTCCTTCCTCTCGTGGTTGTTTCAGGACCGTCATCTTATGCCTAACACTGTCGCTTCGTATCGTGCGGCGCTGGCGGAGCCGCTTCAGCTTGCTTTCGGTATCGATGTTACGTCTGCGCCGTTTCGCAAGCTGTCTCGTGCATTGTTTCACCTCCGGCCTGCTCATGCGTCGCCTGAGCCGTCCTGGTCTTTGGACAGAGTGCTCGCTTTCCTTTCATCTCCTCGTTTCGTTGTGGCCCCTTCGGTCCAGGATTGTTTTTCCAAGGCACTTTTCTTGTTGGCTTTGGCCTCTGGGGGTCGGGTAGGGGAGCTTCATGCTCTCCTCCGGCGCAGGGGTTTCTGCTCTTTTGGTCGTGGTGATAGTTTTGTTCGTTTGCAGCCGTCTCCTTCTTTTCTGGCGAAGAATGAGACTGCTGCGTTCCGGAGGGGTCCATGGGTGGTTGATGCTTGGTTGGTCAGGCCGGGGGTGCATCATGTTTTGTGTCCGGTTGCGGCGCTTCGCCGTTATTTGCGCGCCACAGCTTCTGTGTCCGGGGACGCGCTGTGGGTTGATCCGGTTTCCCTTCTTCCCTGTTCGCGGGTTCGGGTCTCTCAGGTCGTCCGCAGGGTTATTAGGTCTAGCCAGCCTGCGGTCTATCCCCGTGCCCATGACGTTCGTAAGTTCGCGGCTCTTGCTGCCGTCTTTGGGAATATGTCTTGGTCTGGTATTCGGGCGCGGGGATTTTGGCGGTCGAACAGGGTCCTGGCTGCTCGTTACCTTGTGAATGTCCCTGGCCCTCGTCGGGCCTGTGTTGCTTTGGGTCGGCGGTTGCAGCCAGTTGTCTCGGCTTCGAGTTGAGGGGTGAGCGACGACCGCCTCCCGGGTAAGTCCCTCTTTTTCAGTCTGTGGGTAAAGTTAGCTCCGGGGAGCCGACGGGGCTCCCCCCAGAAAACCAGCGTTGAATGTAATGAAACGCCATTTTCTGGGCGAGTCCCGGAGGCTCCCCGGCATCCCTCCCTCCCTCCGGTCGGCGGTTTTTTCGCGTTTTTGACATCCAGCCTCAAGAACTGAGGTGTGGGTAGCCGGCGCGGGGGGTCTGGGGCTCCCCCTTCCCCCTCCCGGGGAGGGGGGAGCTGCGCAGACAGCGGCGCGGCAGTGTGTGACGTCACACTAATTTGCTTGTTTTCGGTTGGGGAGTTCTATCCACTAGTTCGGTATTAGGTAGCAATTTTAACCAGAATAGGGGTTTGTTTTGGGGCGCTTACCTTTCTGGGTGCCTGTTCCGGTCGATGGCAGACATAGAATGCTTCCAACTACACGGGGGCTTCTATAGGCCATTGCTCCCCTTGCCTCTCTGAGGGGGTCCGGTTCTGGCCGTGGTCCCCGGTAGGCCTAAGAACTCCATACACATGACTGATGCCAAAGTCTGACATTAGCATATCAGCCTGGGATAGCTCCGGGGAGCCTCCGGGACTCACCCAGAAAATGGCGTTTCATTACATTCAACGCTGGTTTTTTTTTTTAATTTAATTTACTTTGCAGTATATGCAATGTCTGTAAATCATATTTATATTTTGGTAGTGAACCTTTAAAGACTTATTGTAGGGCAAGGAAGGTCCATGGTTATGGACCTTCCACAGCACTGAATTTTGTAAGACTTTCAAGATAATCATGGTGGGGACCTTGAGTAATACAGCATGTGAAACTTGTAACAACAGCTTTAAAAATATCTACTACCATGTTGTGATGCCAGGGGGATACTAGTAGTGTAAGTTGTAAATGACATTCTATATGAAATTTAGCAATAGACCATAGTATGGTATACATATCTTTTTGTAATAATAATTAGTTTTGTTGGAGAGAGGATGCCTAGTGTGTATAATTCATTGTTGGGAGGACAGGCTGCCAGTGTGTATATTCGTGTTAGGCTTATATTGAGGTTTCCCAGGATGCAACCTTTCCACAAGCTGACGAATTCCCGAGTACCTATTTACTGCTAGGTGAACAATGCCATTCGATTGTGAGTGGAGAACAAACATAACTGAAATGTGCCAACCGCTTCTGTCTTGTCGGGGCTTTGAACCCATCATCGCAGATTGTGTTGTGAATGCAGCCAACTGTATACAGTATATACGGTGGACAGTATGTACTATGCATTAAATGAAATTCTGATCCAGATTCATCAGTAATCTAGATTTTTGAATAATCACTCAATTTTCCATATGTCAAACTTAAAGTTTGAGTTGTCAAAGTTGTCAACATAAGTTGTAAAACTTAAAATGAAAATGAATGGAATTTATCATTAAATTTAGATTTCTCACGTCGCAAAATATTTCTCCTAATGCTTGTGTATCTTAGCATACATTGTGGTAAGTTTAACATAAGGAAAACCATTATGTAGGAAATACAGGTGTTTATTTCATCTTGCTCCTTTAGTTATAAAATTAGCCATTTCCATGGGTGGAGGGGTGATTAAAGAATAAACTATGACACCTTGCTGAAAGTCTTTAAGAAAACGGTTTAATTATTAAAAAAAATGAGTATAAGCACAATGTACAGAAAGTTGCGAGTTGAGTTGTTAATAGTTTAACCCTTAAACTGCGCAAAATGTCATATGATGTGTGACATGAACTCGGTTTTTAAAATTTTCTGAAACTCTTTCAAATGTTTTGTGCATAATCTAGTAAGCAAATGTTCCAACTTTGTCTAAATGATACCGGTGTAAATTGAAAATCAAGAAAATAAAAAAATAAGTATAAAATTGAATATTGAAAACTTCAGATTTTAAAATCGGCTGCAAAAATATAAAAATATCACCAACTGTTCATTTGGGGTTATTATGCTCTCAGAATAGCATATAATTTTCATTTTCAACTATTTAGAATATAGGTTTTCAGTATTCTGTAGTTTACTGTAAAAAAAATTGTCAATATGGCATTTGAAACATGTGCAAATTTAGATAACAAAATTTTTTAACTCCAAATGTTTAGAGTTTATGAAAAATCAATTCTACAGGGATTGTAGAACAGACAGCTGTGCATACTGTATGTAAAAATGATGAGACTCAGTAGCAAACTAGATTTTTGGATACTGAAGAAATTCTAGTTATAGATATAAATGAAGTTGAAGTTATCACAATGAATAAGGGAGTTCTAATTCATGAATTTACTTGTATGTTGTAATAAACATTGTTTGGCATTCGTACTCAAGCATGGGAAAGTTGTATGTCAATGTGTGTAGAAATGAAGTCAAGAATATATTCCCCTACCTCAAAAAAAATATAAATAAATATAGGGATAATTATAATAATTATAATGATTTA